ATATATATATATATATATATATATATATATATATATAAAGATATCTCCTCTATGTACATGGCACTAGAGTACCTACATACTAACCTAGGCAGGTTTATGCATACACAGCCATAGACCCCAGTAAAGATGTAGCCATAGATAAAATAAAACAATGAATCTTCTCTATAAAGTCAATAGATAAATCAAATAAATGATTTGTTAACTTTCATAAACCTCTCACCATGAATCGCACAGGTACATTTGATAGTTTATCTAATATAATTCTTATGTTCATCCTATTCAAACAATGTACATAAATAAATTCATTACTTAATTATTTCTATTTATAATTGTGATATGTTTTAAGTAAAAGCATTATTAGTATTATTGGTGAAAGTAAAACATGTTTTCAATACTTATTCATTTACAATATTTACGCAAGATTAATGAGGGATTATTTTAAAAACAAATAAAATAGTGGCCTTATGGTCATTTCTAGTTTATATTAATGATTTATTTGCCTTGTAGGTGTTCAGGTTATCTATACAAAAAAAAAGTGTAAAAATATTTTTAAGCAAAAAAAAGTTTTTCCACAATATATGCAGATGGTGATCTCCAAGCAAAAGTTACTTTAAAAAAATTAATTGAAAACAGGAAAATTAATACCATGTTAGAACAATGCAGTAGTTCATAAATCTATAAAGCTTATGCACCCCCCCACACACACACATTGTGAAAAACTATATTGATGAATTGTAATCCATTAATGAGCCAGTTGATTTATTGATTAGTAATTACCACTAATTGCCCAGCTTTATCATATTCACACATAATGAGACCTGCAAGGACAACAAATTGCAAATGGTGGACAGTGAATGAAGGTAGTGGAAGGAGAGGGCACAAAAAAAAAGGTCTAATCTTCAGTGCATATAAGGATTAGTTCTTAACGTTACAGTATTGTATTTGAACAATACATCTTGAAGAATCTACCAAAACATGTGATAAGCTATCATCACATCAGTGACTTATGACTGCTACTAGATAATCAATTTGCAAAACTAACATGCGTTTGTTATAATTATAATCTCAATCTTAATGGCTAGTTTCTGCTCAAATAAACATTAATAATGTCACATAGACTATAATCATAATAAAAGAACATGTATACAGTCTTCAATCTGACAGCATGGAGAATGAACAAGTATAAATTATCAATTCATTATTTATCTGTTTATCAGAACCATTTATGCCATAATTTCTAGGTAGTATATACATGCTACTTGTGGATACAGAATATGTACATGTAAATTGGATTTTGTATGTAAAAAACACTTGAAGTATATTACAACTTTTAATAACCTTCATGTGAAACTGACTGCATTAACAAACAATGTTAGTCAAATTTACTCATGTAGCATTAAGTTCCGAATACTTTAGTTTCTATTTTCGTAGCTTTAAATTTACCCTCAGTAAAGTTTTCACTACAGAATGTACTTTGCAATCAATTTATAAAAAAACTCAAATGTAGATATTATGTATAAATGAGTGGCAGAAAGAAGCTGAGCATGTGACAGAAAGAAAAATGTAACTGAATTAAACCAAAAGAGTTTTCATAGTAGTCAAAATGTTAAAACCACATGTTTTAGTTTTAGAAATTTCCTCAGCTAAAAAGTTGTCAAATCACCAACTGATGAGTGAAAGTTGGTGATCATATTCTAAAATAATCATAACGTCATTCCTGACCCACTCCACTAGTATAGATAAGTTTAAATACCTAATATGTCTCTAAATAACTCCATTTTTGGGTAGTAGGTTGTAAGTATTTATAATACTTTGTTATTTACAGAAGTAATCTTGCTAAATATTTGAAATAAATTTAAAAACCTCTTTTAATAGTTTAAATTGTATACAAGCTTAAGGAGGAAGGGTTTGATTTCATGCAACATTCGTGTGGTACTGTAGCCTTATAGGGAAACTCAATGAAGCAATTTAAAGTGGTATAATGGATACAACATTAAATCTAATTTGAATTCCTAGATACCATAAATAAAATGTGAATTTAAAATTTAGCTGTTTATACTAGTAACATTATACTGGAAACTTAAGAGTAAGTAGAATGGTCATTAAGAGAGGATCCAGCATGGTAAACTAACTGCTTGTGATAGATCTAATGAGTGTGTATTTGCTTAAAACAATGGACTTAAATGTAGTTTTAAGAAGGCTAAAAAAGATAAAGTAGAATTCTGTACAGTTGATATGGTGAAGAACTGGATAAATCTAATGTAAGCTAAGCTTCAAGAATTGTGGGTAGAAGCACTTAGAAAAACATTAAATAATTGGGAAGTAGGGTTAACTTTGTCTCAGAAATGCTTGACTAATAATAAGATGTGATCTAGAAACTGTTACAATGGAAGATTTAGAGTGTGATAAGAGTACTAGCTAATTGGATACTAACCCTTAAAACTGCATATAAAAAAAGTTGGTAGAAAGTTTATTACTAACAATAGACAATTTTTTAAGTATGTTAAAGATAAACAACGTTAAAATGGGAGTTCAACCTTTAAAAATAAAGATGGGAAAATTCTGGATGACAATTATGAAATACCTTACTTGGAATATTGGTTCAGTTTTGGTCATCTGTTTAAGAAATGATGTTAAGTTGCTGATGAACATACAGGGAAGAGCTACAATGACAATTCCAAGTTTGGAGGGGTTATCATGTAGGAATAGATTGAAATTTCTTGATGTTTTTATTGGAGAGGAGAAGGGTTTGGGAGAAGTAACTGTTAGAGGTTTGGATTAAAAAAATATGTACAATATTTTCATAAAACATATGGCAATAATACACAAGTTAAAAATATGGAAAACTCAAAACATGATTCCAATTAAGGCAATATTACTTTTCTAATATGATGCAATGGTTAGTCTATGGATTAGTTTGCCTTCAGGTGAGGTAGAAGCTGCAAAAGTGAAGAAGTTTAAGAGAAGAATGGATGAATATTTTTAGATCAGGGTTGAAAAGAACAAAAGGTGTTTCTACTTATAGTTTACAATAGGGTAGTATCAGAAAATGGAATAACTAGATGGACCAAATGGGCCTTTGTTATCCCTTGGAAATGAAATGCACATGTTTAGATTTTCATTCATGCTTAAGTTCAGACAGTTAAAAACAATCCCTTCACAAACTTTAGTCAATCTTTTATTAAATATATTTCAAGCACCATCCACATAAGTTTTCAAAAACTTCTGGATAGTGGAAGAATCCCAATTTGGTATTCAACTACAAAGCACATGTAATTTACATTCTGACTGTACAACCACCACAGAATGACAATGGCTTAGAATACACACACAGAGAAGGAGTGATATGTGATTTGAAAACAGGTCTCACAGCACTCAGCCAGTATCTCTACTATGAAATTACAATTTTTAAATTCTGCCACAAAAGTATCTTAACCTAAACTCTGTATAATATCTAAATTAACAGAAAAATGCTTCCCATTTTTTTAGTTACATTGTTTATATGCTATTTTTTGAAAATTTTTGTCATTCTTGAAAATCTATATGAAACCCTGGTTTTAACCATACTTTCATAGAAGTGCAGAATTGTCAAAAACTTATAAACATAAATCAATATTGTATTATTTGTTTTGTGGATAATATGCAAAAGTTAAGAAATTAATAACATGGAAAATATCTTATCAAACCAAAGGTTAGCATTTTCCTAAACTGAAAATGTATTTCTGATAGATACTTATCTCTT